TTAATAATCCAGAGGTAGTACTAAAACTATAGAGTAGGTAAAATTAGGTCAACTTTGGGTTAAATGAGCTTGAAACTTGGAAAGAACATTGGCATTCTGCATGTGTCAGATCCATAGTCTCCTTTTATGCACATGAGAGGCAGTGTTGGCTTCTTACCTGGCCTCTGTTGCATGGAATTGAATGTTACACTTTCTTCCTCTCTGGAACCTTTCAGTATATAAGCTCCTACATTAACCTAAAAGAGTTTTTTTTTTAAGAAATAATTTTGTACATGTTGCTTTATGAGTATCTAAGAGAGAAGTGGGCTTCAGTAACTACCAAGTCTTATATAGAAGAAGGGACTTAAGTAGCTTTTATCTATCCCCTCACTAACTCATTATAGCGGAGATGCTTTAGTCCAGAGGGAATTTTTTTGCTACCTTCCTAATGTCATATACTTGGGTATGATGACATTTCAAGCTATTTGTATTTCTTTTCCTCTTAGAGTGTAGTATCAATGCAGTATTTTCTTTTCTTCAAAAACATGCCTTTTTGCCTGTTTTCCAGATTGCCTTACTGGGTTAAAGGAATACCAGTTAACTCCACGAAGGCCCACTAAAAGGATTTCACAGCAGTATCGGTTAGGCATGAAAAATGAAAAAAATAGTTTCTACTATTTGCCAAGAATGAAATCTTGCAATGCAAGAGTTTTTTTGAAAATATATTTTCTCTTAGGGAAGGTTATTTTATCAGCAGTCCAAAACAAGACAATATTTGCTGCTTTATGTGATAAAATACATTACTCAAATAAGTGATACTGGGTAAGATCTATACCAAAACTTGTCTATTTTAAATGTATATTTTTGGTCTGCCTGCATTAGACAATTTATATATTAAACATACTGAGTCATATAGTGTGCTCAGGAATAAAAAAAATAGAACCCTTCTAATTTTGTTTTCAAGGAGCTGTGCTATACTGTCCAAAAAATATTTAGCTTTAATTTATGGCTCCTTTTAGGGCTGGAAATATTACTTTGCTTAACTTCACCAAGTTTAGCTTCCTCTGGCTCATCCTGCTCCAGCCACCCTGGTCCCTTGGCTCCTGGTACCATGTTCTTTGCCTCTTCCCACCCACCGTGCCATGCCTTTAAACACATATACTTCCCTCTGCCTACAACATTCTTTCTCTTCCTCTGCCTGGCTAAGTCCCGCTCATCCTTCAGGTCTCAGCTTAAACTTCATCAGGAAAGCCTTTTAAGACTTATAAAAACTCTGTACTAATCACCAAATACAGAAAATAGCACCACCCAAAACTGAGTAGATTTGTAACAGCCTACATGCTGGCTGCTATAGCCCCTTGGATATTTCTTTCAAGATGTGCTGCTTTTTATACCTGATTTTAAGGATTTTAAAACCATAAGGCAGAATCCTTTCAAATCATGGGCCACAGGTGACACTGGGGTGCATTCGTATCTCTGGCTTCTGGGCATCACCTTTCAAGATGTAAGCTTGCCTAATGATAAGGTTACAGCTTTCCCTACTCCAGAGACAGTTTCCTTTTGCATATTAAATAGATGCCTGTGCAAGGTAATGTATTGTAAGAACTCCTTTGCCAAGGCTAATGCCAGCAGGCATGCCAAATAAAGTCAGTAGAATATGTGCTGGCTCTGTATTAGTTTTAGGGGAGGAAATAACAAGTTGTTGATAGGTAGTTCCTCCATCTTCCACAAAAATACCTAAGATGAGAAGATTCTGACACTAGTGTAAACTTTTGCCTCTTGTAAAAAGGTATAATTAGGTCTTCCTTGAGTATCCTCTAAGAGCAAACAGTAACAGTTTTGTGTCTTTTGCACCTGATTTACAGGGCTCAATTTCAGAATACATCTGAATGAAAGATACTTCTGAACCTTAAACACTAGGTAATTGGTTGAAAACAAGCTGCTAGGCAAAGACAAGTCACAAGTAGACAGTGCCCTTCAACCAGGACAGGTGTGCCAAGAAGGCCCATTCATGCATATCTAACGTCCAATACTAGGTTTACAAGACACCAAATTCAAATCCTTTTTTTTGGACCAATGCCATCACTAATCAAAGAACACAAGTAATATTTGGGCTAACAGCCATTTAAGGAAATGGTGGAACCATTCCTTACTGTGGAGAAAGAATGTAACTTAAAAAGGTTTTCTGTACATTTCCAACCTTGCAAGTCGCAGCCCCGTACCATAAATGTGCTGTCTTTCAGGACAGTACAAAGGAGAGAACTAGGCATCCGATAATTCTGTGTAGACTACAAACTGTTACGTTTCCTACTCACATCAAGGGCAAATTTTAATTTAGACTTTCTAAGAATAAGGCAGTCTAGATACCCTCAGTAAGTCCTGGTTTAAAAAACCAAATGTTGAACAAGATGTAAGAAACAATGTAAATTAATATTAAATAACATACAAAGTATCTTTTAAAATGTATCACTGAGTTCACATGAAAGTGTAAGACATCTGCAAAACTCTGAAAATGAAGAAACAGGAAACCTATGAGGTAAGCTAGCACCAAAGCCTGCTTTTCCCCTGACGGCTCTGTTGAACTCTGGAGACCAGAAGCTACCAGTAGTGGGGGACTGGACATGAAGCTTGAGGCTCACTTAGTCTGGAGTATAGTCAGGCCACCACAGAGAAGTGAAGTGGGCAGCAAGGAACCTTGCCTGTCTCAATTTTGGTGCTCGGAGGAAGAGGATAAATTGCCATCACCCTCAAATTCATAATCACTGGCTAGCTCTCAACGTTTGTGATCTGAAATCACAGAACCTTCCAGCTGATAAAGTGATCTCAGGTTGGTGTTTTGCAGAGCAACAAATTCTCTTAAGGATCTGAATTTCATTCCATACTTCAAATAACTCCTATTTTTCTGAGGAAAATAAGTTTAAGATACCACAAAACAAGGGGAAATGTCACCACCAATAAAAAACAATTTATACAACACACAGCAGATTCGACCACAAAGAATATTGGTAGCAACACAAGAAAAATTAGTGATGTATAAAGGAATAGAAGCATAGAAAATATGAATAAGGAGCAAAAGATTACACAGAACAAACAAGTACTTTTGTAAACCAAACATAACTCATAGGAAAAAATCATAATAATTAAAAATAAAAACCCAACAAAGGAAGGGAAAAACAAAGAAGAAAATGAGAAATGAAAGATAAGGCAAGAAGGGAGGAATGGACAAAAATTTTAAAAGAGGTGATAGAATGAGGACCTAAAAACAAGTCCAAATCACAACTGTAATCACAATAGATATAAACATACTAAACTATCCATATTTTTTTCTGTGGACTTATATTTTAACTGTGTCTCTTGCACACTTAAAATATGAGGCCAAAGAAATATCTAAGCTATTCAGATAAACACTAACCAAAATATTGCTATAGTAAATAAAAAGCCAAAAAAAATGAAAGCAACAAGCATTCATAGAAAGAGTCGTTACATAATTATATAGAAAGTTCAGTTCACCAAGGAAGATAGAAAAATTCTAAATTGGTATGCAACTAATAATAAAGCCAAAAGAAGAAGCAAATACAACTTCAAGAGAAATTGAGAAATCTACTTACCATAATGAGATCTTGAGCCTCTTTAGTAAATAAGGAATCAAGTATGAGGTGAATCAGTGAGGAGAAGATCCGCACAGCACAAGTCTGAGCTAACGGACACCATACTCAACAACTGGAGATTCCCTACTCACCAGGCACACGTGGGGCACGTGTAAAAACTGATCACAGGATAAGTCATAAAGCTAGCCTCAAATTTCAGATAATTAAAATCCTACAGCTCAGGTTCTCTGGCAAAATGATCTTAGAAATACAGATTAAGACAACTACAATCCACCCCTAAGCACTTGAAAACATACTTTTAAAATAACTAACGGGCTAAACAGTCAAACCTCTGGAAGGATTAACAATTAAAAAAATGAAAAGGCACAAATAAACTAAAAGGAATGAAAAAGCATCATAACTATAGATGCTGTGGAAACTAAAATGATATAAAGGTAATACAAATAACTTCATGTTAAAAAATTTTAAGCTAGATGAAGTGGAGAAATCCCTAGAACTTACTAAATTTAACAAAACTGACTCAAGGATATAAAATCCTAATGACGCTACAACCTTTAAAGAAATGAATCAGTAGTTTAAAATCTTCTCTTAATGACCAAATGCCTTTAAAGACTAGTTCCAACCTTCCAGAAAACTGAAAAACTCATTTAATAAGGGTAATGTAACCTTGATACTGAAACCAGATAACAGGACAAAAAAGGAAAATTGTGAGCTGACTTCACTCTGGAACATAGAAGCAAAAATCCTAAATAAATATTGGCAAATTGAGTCCAACAATGTATTAAAATACACATACACCATGGCCAAATTCGGTTTATCCTAAGAATTAGATCAGTTCAGTATTAAAAAGTTAACTATCAAAATCTAATACAGTAATATTAAAAGAGAAAACAATTCAACCATTTAAATAGATGAGAAAAAAAGCATTGAACAATTCAACATTCATTCATAAAAAACTATTAGCAAACTAGAAATAGAAGACAGTCTCCTTAACCTGATAAAGGCCATTTATGGGGGGAAAAAAATGAACTGAAATGTCGAAAGCCTTCCCTTTAAGTTGAAGCTAAAGCAAAGATGTTCACTATCAGTTCTTTCCAACATTGTACTACATGTCCTAGCAAGTACAGAAATGTAAGAAGAAATTTTTTAAAGGTACAAGGATCAGAAAGGAAGAAAACTGCCACTATTTCAGATGATGTGATTATATAAAAAACTCAAAAAGAAATCTAGATACATTATTAGAATAAAAATTTAGCAAGGTTGCTGGATCCAAAATCAACACATAGCAATAATGTGTCTATAATCAGCAACAACCACTTAGAACAGAAACTGTAATTTTTAAAAATTTATCACAGCATTAAAAATATATAAAACTCCTAGGAAGAAAACTAATATAAGACGTGAAGGCCTTTATGGACAAAAATTATTAAAGTTTATTGAGAGATAGTAAAAGAAAACCAAATGGAGAAATACACAATGTTTTTGGCTAGGAAGACTTATTGAAAAGATATCAATTATCTCCAAGCTTATCAACAGATTCAGTACAATTACAAAAGATAATACACAAACTGGGAGAAAATACATATAACATGTTTACTGACAAAGGGTTGGTATCCAGAATATATAAAGAAATCATATGAATCAATGAAAAAAAGACACACATCCAATAGAAAAATGGTCAAAAGACACAAATAGGTACTTCACAGAAGAGGAAACACGTTCATATACGAAAAAAACACTTTCATTATCAATCAGAGAATACAAATTAAACCCACAGTAAGATACTATATAATCACCATCCAATTGGCAAATAAGATAGTCAAGATTAAGTGTTCACTAGGATATGGAACAATGACACTCAACCACTGTCAGTGGGAGCGTACTGATATAAATGTTTTAAAAAACAGTTAAGCATGACCAAGTAAAACCCACTTCTTAGAGCATCAATTCTCAAATTTTTGGTCTCAGAACCTCTTTACATCCTTAAAAGTTATTGAGGACCTCAAAGAACTGTTGTTCACATGGGTTATATTTATCAATATTTACCATATTAAAAATTAAAAGACATTTTCAAAACAAAAATACACTGGTACACACTTGATGAGCTATCAGAGTGATGATGTCATATATCTGGAAAATATTTAAACGTGAGAAGTGAGAGTGAAAAGGACAAATAATGCCTTAGTATTCTTATGAAAATAGTTCTGCCCACACAGACTCCCCTAAAAGAGTCTCAGGGACCCTCAAGGCTCCCGGGGCCACAGTTTGAAAACAATTGCCCTAGAGGAACGCTTGCACACGTGCACCAGGAGACATGTACAAGAATCTGCTCACTCCTCAAATATTTATTAAGCATCTACCATGTGCCAGCATTTTTCTAGACATTACGAATGTTTAAACAGACAAAATTAGACAAAACAGACAAAATCCCTGCCCACATGGAGCTTACACTATAATTTGCAGAATGTTCATAGCAGCATCGTTCAGAAAAGCCCAAAACAGAAAGCAATTCAAATCTCCATGAACAGAAGAACAGATAAATAAATTGCAGTATAGTCATACAATGGAATACTATACAGCAGTGAAAACAAATGAAATACAGTTACATGTATAAACATGGATGGGAATCTCAAAAACAATGTCAGAAAAAAGTCACAGAATACATACAGCATGACAGCATTTACACACAAGTTCAAAAACAGGTAAATCTAAACAATATATTATTAGGGATACATACATAGATGGTAGAACCACAAATAAAAACATGGGAATTATTAACAAAAAAATCCAGAAAAATGTTTACCTCATGTGGTGTGTGTAGAGGGAAGACAAAGGGAGGAATTCTAAGCATCTGAGGGCATTCTAGCTCTTAAGGTGAAGATTGAGTACATGCATGATCATTTTTTCTCAACAAACATTTTAAAAGAAAAAAGATTCTAGGTTATGTAATGTATAATTTCATCAACAAAGAGAGAGAATATCTGATGTTTCAGCCACTGCTCTGCATTGAAAGTCAGCCAATAATGGTAACTGGTGAGGAAGAAATACATAACAATATGAAAAAAGGAATGAATATGAGCTATTCTTCACAGAAGTTAACTAGGTTCCCAGAGAGTCAGGATCCAACGAGATGGCAGTATTATAGTACTGCTCTGCCAAGTTGGTTCAGAGTCACTGGTATGATTCTGGTTAATTGGTTACTTGGTTTACTGGGTATAATTATTTGTATAAAGCAGAGAATAAAATAATAGGTGATGCAAATCTCAAAATAAACTGCCAAAAGACTGCCTCTTTACTGAATTCTGTTGACTTTCAAAAGTACAAATTCCCTTTGGCACATTCTCCTAATAGTACATTTATGTGTTAAGCAATCTAAAAATACAGAAAGTGTATGGTGGCTATTGACTGTTTTTCCACATTGCTTAATTACAGGTGCCACGTTGGTCACACAAATGTCAGAACAATTTTGCAATCATGTCATCACTGGCAGTGCCATTTTGCAGACTAAACAAGGCGCAGTTAAGGTGCAATTTCTCCTGATTAGGGGATTAGCTATGAACTTTGGTATACAATTTAGAAATTTGGAAAAAAAAGACCTTGAAACACTGGATCCATCCCTTGCACCCAAAGAAGACAGGCTAAAGTTATTATCTTGGGTTAGGAGTTGGTACAAGAGGTAGACCAGGCCCAGCAGCAAATGGTTGGCAACACATTCCCAGGAAGCGGAGAAACAGAAAGTGTATCTTCAGGTCCAATTTCCTCAACTGAGTTCCAGACACTCAGAAAGCTCCTGACATTTCTGTAGCTGTTTTTAAAATCCAATGCTACAAGACCCCAAATCTTACCCACATGTAAGCTGGAATGGACAATGCCACCAGGGGGTGCTATACTGCAACTGGTAGCAGGATGATTCAGATCAAGTAGTTGCTTGGACCACCAGAGCTCTCCGCCCACTCTCTTAACACACTATGCTGCTTTAAGTGGCACACCCAAAACTGTGTTAAAATGGATGTAATTATTATGCCTGTAGCTTTTTCCTCCTTCTCCAATAAGAAGCAGAAATTAGGAGAGAAACTTTCTCAAGCTCTTAGGAAACTCCCACTCTTTCTCTCCAGAGAGGCGGAGGAATGGATAATCCTCTTGGTCAGAGTTGGACATTTGTTGGACCATGCCTTACTAGTAGAAAGAGTTACTTTATGTTCCAAAACAAACACTGGCCGCTACCTTTAATTTTTACCCTGTATATGCTCAGACATAAATGGTTCTCCTTGGGCCTTCCTCAATTTTCATGCTGAGGAATGAGGAATCCTTTAGCTTCTTGTCTCTGGGTGGCAAGGAGAGGAGGAAAGGGGAATGGGTAGAATGGAGGGCCATTTCCTTGTCTGCTATAGCTTTCATATCTGATATGCCACCAATTCCTACTTCTTGCACTTTTATCTTCAGGGAATATATGTAAATTCCCCATCATCTCTGAGGACTCTGCAAAAAACTTGTTTTGAACCAAAAAAATCAAGTCAGGAAATAGTTCCTCCACAGCCTCAAAGCTATGGTTTCCTACTCTTCTCTCTACACAAAGCCAAAGACTTCATAACCCTGAATTCTCAAGACCCGAATTTGAGGCTCTGGCAGAAGTGGTAGTCAGATTGTGAATCTGATGACCTTAAAGTATGAGGCCCTGCCCGATTCAACTTATCCAAGATACCAAATATGAAACAAAAGAAACTTGCACTCAGTTTGATGACCTTGCTGAGATGAAAAGTCCCGCAAGTGGACATGTTCCTGATTTTAGTTCTCCAGAGGACAGGAAAGAAGCAAATTAATACTAATAAGATATCAAAATCTATTTTCAATAAGGAGGCCAGTATAGCTTTTTCTTTCATCATTCAGTTTATAGAATTTATTGTTTCTCCCCAGAATATGGTAGTTCATGTTTTTCCAGGCATGATTTAAATTATAAAAAGGGCTTTATCTGAGTTATAGAAATATATGAGCATAAGGACTCCCAACTGTAACTGGAAAACTTGGAAGAAAGGTGTGCCAATATCATCTTGTTTTCCAGTAATAAAATGTAAGAGTCCTTTGTCCTATAAGCTTAGAGGTGACAAGAGTGACCTGACTTGACACATAAGACTCCAGTGTGGTTCTAATGCTGGTGTTCTGCGTCCTCCAGCAGCGCCCCATGCTTACAACATATTAAATAGGTAGGTAGTTTTTTCGAATGTTAGACAACTGCCCATGGCTTTCCCATAGGGAAATCAGAGAGACTGACTTTGGAAATATTTTTAGCTCATTTTCCTGATCATCCAATGTTAAAAATCATTATCTACCAATGCCCACCAATCTCACTAAATGCTCAGATCTTTTTAGATCAAAGACTTCCTCTTGCAATCTAAACACACCCATATTAAATCCCTTTTAGCCTAGTAAATATGTGACACACCCCTTATTTATCCCAGGACTTCTCTTAGGAACCTAAGTAACAGCAGGGTAGGGTAACACAAAGCTGGGGTTTGTGTTTCCTCCAGAGGCTTATTAAATCTGCTAAAATCTCTTTCCTTTTCAAAGCCTCCCTCCCATTTTGACCCAATTTTAGATGGGGAGCGAGAGTATGGAGAGAGATGTAAAGGTGACAATTTTCTTTACTCATTTGCTAAAATATTTAAGTACGAGATAAAGGGTTGATATGAAAGAGATATAAAGACTCAGTCTCCGTCTCAAAGACCTACCATCTGTCAGAAGAGGAGGAACAATGCTAACAAGTAAGGGCACAACAGTTTTTAGGCTGCTATGACAGAAGACTTAACAAAGGACAGTGGGGGCACAAGAAAAAGGAGTCAAATCTACCTGGAAATGGAGTATGTCAGGAAAGGCTTCATCAGGTCGGCAATTTACCTGAATCTTGAAAATACGAATGGAGATAGGTGAGAGTGTTAAAGGGGACTGCAGACAGAGGAGATGCATAAAAATACACAGAGAGCACAGTATGACAGAACCTAGAAAAATGTGAAACTGTCAAGGGAGTGGTTAAAAGTTTCAAATGACAAGATTAATAAGTACAATGAAAGAATTCACTGGATTTGGGAAATGAGAAGTTATCCCTAACCTTTGCTACAGCCACTCTGATAGACAGAAGCCAGGCTGCTATGAATTAAAATGCGTGAAAAGCATAAATTAAAAGGAGATCAAAAAAAGGTGACAACAAGTTTAAGTCTCTTTCTTGGAGCCATTTGCCTTTTTACTTTCAAACATACTAGGTCAGCTGCAATAAAGGTTATAGATAAGCTTTATATTTCTATCAGAAAATGATTCCCAAACACAATCCACTAACTTGTAAACAAGTTTTTAGACACAATCCATTCTTTATGAGACTGCCTATATTATTTTAAGTGATTGCTATAAAATCAACATTTCTACAGAGTTCCTCTGCCATCACTAGTTTTTCTTCCATGTAGTTCAAAATAAATAACAGTTGTAATTGGTTATAGTATAAAAGGTGCTTTATTTTATATATCATTGGTACACAATACATAAAACTGCCTAAAATCAGTCATGAAAACGTAACTGTCGATTATACCTTAAATGGTCAAAGACCAAGTCTATTTTGTAATCTATTTATGACCAGATGACTACGTTAATTTTAAATATTAATAATCTCTTCATATCCAATGTTACAAATTATTTTTATGCTACAAGTGCTGTAATTTTTTAAAACAAAAATATCTTCAGTTATAGTAGACTGTATCTCTAACCAGAACAAACTGTTGCTAGTCTATAAGTCTTTGAAATAATGGATCAACAGTTTCACCCTCTTACAGATGATTATATTTATGTAACTGGGTTATATGGCAGGGAGCCTCATACGTGCAATCAGATTATTTCCATTTTTTTTAAATGCAATAAAAATGAGTTTATAATATTCTATTTCTAGTTAAGCTGCCAAACAGTTTACTAAACTAAAATGAAGCCAATGCAATATTTTAGAAAACTTAATTCTAAGAGCATGCAACATCAAAATCTTTTTACTACATATGTGAACCAAAGCTGCAGAGTCCAGGAAGAGGACTGTGGCACAAAGGCTTGTACATCTGAATTGCTTATCCAGCAGGGAGGAGTAAAGAAAGTAATTTGGTTCTGTGTAAATCCTCCTATGAAAGATATCTGCATGTTATATAGCCCACTGCTACTCAAAGGAATCTTCACTTAGAAAAATGTGCAAATCGTAAGAAGGTAAATGTACTTTTCTTGTTATTTACCCCAATCCATTCTATTCATAAACTCATAGCTCAAAGTTCTCTTATTAACTATTAATGTCAAAGCCACACAGATTTCTCAATGCCATCTTTCAGTCACCAATCATTTATCAGAGAGATAAATGTGACTAGTACTTAATGTACAAATGCCAGAAAATGGTAAAGAATTGGCTAATTCTTAAAGTAAAAACATTTTAACAAGTATCTTGGTATTGAAAGACTGTCTTTCTCTCTAGAAAATAAGACATATTTTAGAACCACAGGTTCATTGTCACCTCCTGGTCTAGAACACTAGAGGCATTTAAGCAAAGTTAACTAAACAAAATAATAATTAGGTATAAATGTATACGCTCAAACAAATATTCTATTCTTTGCTTAAAGTCAACTTATTCCTTGTAATTAAGAGAAGTGCTTCAAGATGCAAAACTGTTAATTAATGCAGAGAATAAGGGGTTAAAAGCCAGACCTTTTCCTAATGAAGCAAACAGACCATTAAAATAACTGAGCTTGAAACAAACTATAACTCTCCATTCTTACTCTTTTTTATAACTAAACACACACATATACACAACAAACCCTAGCATTTAATATGTGCAAAATTGCTTACCATTTATTTTAACTTTGGTTAAGTACTTCTTTAGCCTATATCAGACATATTACGGAAGCTATACAGACGATTACAAACATAATAATGAGGTAAGTTAAAATTCTACTAGTGCAAAAAGCAAGCATATGCCAAAAGCAAAGCATATGAGTTAAACAAAAGCAGAATGAAGCTCTCACCAAGATAGGTGCTGGGATAATAAACCAGAGAAGCTCCTTGTAAACATTGTTTGTAAAATACACATTTAAAGATTATAGATTCATACAGCCACAAAAAAAGGTATTCTAACAACACCATAGTAGTGCATTTATTTTACCTTTAGAGTTTGGAAATCACTCATTATGTGTCTAACAGTCTGCATATTTTCTTCAAGAGAAACTTAATTAGTGAGACATTAATTACAAATACTGTAGTATAAAAATCCCAGTTCTTTACAAAAATTATATATTAAAATATTCTATACACTTTAAATTAGTAACTGGAACATACATATATATCAATTCTGCACAATTAAATCCATCTTTGCTGGGAGTATTATACATGAAGTTTGAGGACACAGCTACTCAGTCAACCTAAACTGGCATAAGGTTACATAGTATAAAAAAGATAGACCTGTGCCCTGCAGTTATTGCAGCTCTGAGTTTGAAATATCTTTTCTGCAATTATTGCTCTGTATGTTCATTTCAGATTCAAATAGGCAGTGGAACCATGAAATTCCTAAAAGGTTTGAAACAAGTTACCTGTAGCAGAGTATCCATAATGCCTATATACGCATCCTTAAGGTTGTAATGGAACCTGAGTAAGCTGTCTAATGCTTCTATTTCAGTTGTAAAAAAGTTTATACAATTTCGAGGTAAAAACAATGCAAAAATAAAACATTTAGAGCATTTACAAAAATCTTACAAATGTTTAAAACACTATTTCAAAACTTGTGTCCTGTTAAGGTGCTTCTTTCTTTCTGCAATAAGGAGGACATATACTTTAATTCTGAATTTTAAATTATGAATGTTTAAATTTCAGCAAAAGTAAAGTTAGATCCATTAAGACAGATGTTGAAATGTTTAGGGATATACTTCAGTTCTGATGAAAATACAGAATTTCAGTGCTGATAGGGACCCTACAGGTAAATTCTTTTAACTGTCTCATCTAACAACAAGGAAACTGAGGGCCAGATAAGTTAAGTGCTTTGGCCAAAATTCAATATACTCCAACATATCAACCTGGTATAAATCAAGAAAAACCATTAATCTTTTTGTATTTTGCCATGATTCTTGGAAAATGACAAAAGTTCAAAAGCAGAGCTTCTGAACTTGCCTCTTTCTTTTTTAAATTTAAGCCCTGTGCTAACTGTATATAAACAAAGAAATGAATCAAATGGCTACTAAAATTAGTATCACAAATATTATCTACTAGAAGATAGTTGTTAGAGGACCACTGCTCATTGAATAGAACGAAGTTAGAGGGAATACTCAAAGACAGGGCCTTTACAATGTAGAGAACATTTACTATATAAGACAGCACAGTGTACAACAGCCAGTTACTAGAATCATCTCAATAACTCTAGGATGACTGAGTTACATGGCCTTTATATAAGATATTGGGGTAATAAAGCCTTCTAGCTTGTATCTTAATTTTACTATTTTCCTTTATAAAAGAGCTATAACTGTAAGGAAGAATCCATATACTAATTTTCAGAGAGGCTTTGCTTCTTTTCTATTTTTATTTGGATCTAGAATTGAGCAAATACATTTTAATAACAACTTACAAACTCAAATTCATAACTATGAGAAATACAGAGAACACTCTTTTAAATGACAAATCTTCATAACCAGTTACTAATAAATAATAATCACAATAGCTTCAGTAAAAAAAAAAATTCAATTTAAAGGTGCTTTTTTATTGTTACCTTGAAGCCATCGAACTTGTGTTGCTGGTCCATACCCCTTCTCATTCTTTGCTGATATCCTGAACACAATGGCAGGCCTGGATGTATAATCGATATGTGCATTTGCAAGCTGCCCAGTGGTCACTACACATGATGTCTTAAGACCACAATAAATCCTCATAAACACAAGCTGACTTGGATTATCTTGTATTTGTGCTGTGCGGATAGCCAAGTATGCTGAATATTCCAAAATATTTCCAGAAGGTGAAGTGGGAGGTTCCCAAGAAAGATGGATACCCTCAACATTCTTGAAGAGAGGGGGGGAAAAAAAAACAAACAGGTAAATGTTCTAAAGTTTTCTCTAATATCACTTACTATGTTGAGTCTATCTTTAGAACACAAGATGCTTTTCACTGAAGTAACTGCATTAGGTGTTAGAACTTCTATTGCTGATTTTTAAAAACCTACCCTAATTGGATCTACACTGTTTAATTTATGCCTTTTAAAAAACATGGCTAGACTTAAATGTCTTCCTATAGTATCCCAAAGAAGATAGTTACCTGAAAGTAGACTTCTCTTCTCTAAATAGAGGTAGGACCTTAGGATAAAATATAATCTAATTTCATGTGTTCTCTTAAAATTCTCTAGCACAAACTTTTTGGTTCCATAGCAACAAGAATAAACTTAATATTAAGCTGCATACACAAATTTTACTGACTTTTTGTAATTTGGATGTTGTAATTATGCTTGAAATTTTGGTCCTTAAAAATATCACGAATGATTAGCAAAAAATACTTACAAAACTATTAATCCACCCCTTTTAGTTATCGCTCATTTCATCAGACACTGTCAAAAATCTCTAAACTGGTAGTTTTACTTCACGTACAAAGTTTCAATAATTTAAACCATTAAGTCTTTTTTTTAACTATTGAAGTAGGGTCGATTTACAATGTTGTGTTAGCTTCTGGTGTATAAATCATTAAGTCTTGACCTAATGTCTCACCTTTGAAATCCTGACTGCAGAAGGAGCTCCAGGAAAACCGGGAATACAAGTTTTAAATTCACTGATTTTGCTGAAAGGGCCTATTCCACAACCATTGATGGCAGCAACCCTGAATCTATATCCTGTGCCTGGAACAAGATCTTGTTTCTTAAGTAAACTGTAGTCAGGTACGTCTGCATTTCCTATCTAAAATATAATATATGCAAAAGTCAAAGAAAAGATGCAATTAATTATTTTTTCATTAAACAACAAAACTTTTAAAGAATGAATTCTATTTCAGGGTTGTAGTTCACATTATTTATTTTCCTCTTTCATACATGGAATGAATCCTCCAATACAAAAGTAACCAAGCCCATAAACTGGTGATTCTTATCCAGAGGAAAAGTGCCTTTCCAGTCAAGAATCACTGGTTATGAAAAGAAATATAAGGATATTCTGCACATGAAGAGTATAGAGATAGAAACCTCAAAAGATTTACTATCAAATAGTCTAGCCAGGAAAAACACCCTTTGGACATGGGCAAGCAAGTTTAATAGAAAAGGAGCAACTAGCATGTAGTATGGAGCATTTTAAAAATTAATATTCAGCTGATGCTAAATAAATGTTAAATTAAATAACTGAATTTCATGCTCTGGGTAGGAAGATAATAACATCTACAACTTGCTAATAATTTTTACGTATTCTCCCTAAGTTTCACTATACCTCTGTGAGACAGGTAGCACCAATGTATCATTCTTTTTTTAAAACATTTTTTATTGAGTTATAGTCATTTTACAATGTTGTGTCAAATCCCATTGTAGAGCATAATTTTTCAGTTATACATGAACATACATAAAGTGTCACTTCTTTTTTGCTGTGAGCTACCACAAGATCTTGTATATATTTCCCTGTGCTATACAGTAAAATCTTGTTTATCTATTCTGCATATGCCTGTCAGTATCTATATATCATTCCATTTTTAAGGGAGTTAGGTTATCTCCATTTCACACATGAGGAAACCGAGTCGCAGGAAAGGTTAAACAAGTGATTTGTCCAAGGTCAAACTGTCGAGTGCTGGAACTAATGATTCAAACCCAAGTTCACTGGCTCTAAATTTTATAGTTTTTTTTTCTTTTGGGAAAAACAGATAGCTACTAGGCCCTTAGATATGGGTATTTCCATATATGTGAAATCAAACTATAGCCAGAAATTTTGTTAGGCATAATGCTAACAAATTGTTAAACAGGATGTCTATTTTTGTCAAGAATTAGAATTCAATATGAAAAAGAGGGACACCAGCAGTAATATTAAAGAAACTAAAATATAATGATAAATGACATATTCTCCATTTGTAAGATCTTTGGAAGATTCAGAATATATTTCTTTGGCAACTCCCTCTCTGAAACCCCCCATTTCAGAAAAAAAATTAGTTCAGTATGCTTTGGAGCTGTTATCTACTTCATAATTCTTAGAGGGCCAATGTCTCATATATGTGAGGTCCTCTTTAAGGGGCTTCAAAATTAAGGAAAATTAGATTGTATTTAATAGCATAGGGGCTTTTAAATTTTTTAAATTGTGAAGTTAGGAAGAAAAAAAGTTCTCAGTAAGAAAAAATGTTCTATTCTCTAAACACACCAGGTAACAAAATTAAAACTATTTAAAAAAAATCTTCATCTGTACTGACCAGACTGTATTATTTATAACTGAAAATCCAGCTCAGTGATTGTATAAGATTTTTAAAGTAAACTTCTTATGATTTATTCTATAAAAAGAGCTTTAAAAAGAATACAAGATAACTAGATATATAGAATTCTCAATTACAAATTGTGAACAGATCCCAATTTCACTCATTCAAGTGACCTGAATCTGGATTATTTTAAAAATCTCATTCTTGAGGCTTATAACTAGCAGTGTAGAAAATATATTAATAGGTACCTTTGAGATGCTTTGCTTCCCTTTTGGCAGCAGATAAAACTGGCTCACCAAAGCTGTATTATTTTTAAAAATTCCTACATCACACCACTGTCGTTCTCCTGCTTTCATTGTAGTCACTGGATTTGAAGGAGTCTCTTTCTAATTTCAGAGAAGGAAAAATGTGTATGAAGATTCTTATTGAACATACAAGAAATCTCAAGATTTAATAAGTCCATGCAGTGATCTATAAGTAGGTATATGGGTAAACACCACAACATTAATAGCTCATAAGTAAATAAACTCTTAACAGATTAGGTCAACTGACAAGTGAAACAGGGATGCCAATTCAAACATAGGGAGTGACAGGCATTCTCCAAGTCAGTAGCTCTCTGTACTATCAACCTAGTTGGAGTTAGCATGCTTTCCAATCAGTGATATGTTAAAATGCCAGCTGTTTTATAGAACATTGTCATTTCAGAGAATCTCTCAGAAAATGTAATAATCCCTTTAGTGTGACATTACAACTTGCTCCAAACAGAGCAAATAAGGAAAAATTCATTCCAAGCTGGCTTATTTCTAGATTCAAAAACAACTAGCAGAAATTCAGTGATCTTTGTACTTGAAATACCTGTGATTCTCCAAACCTAAAAGGAGAAAAAATGTTCAAAACTAAAATGCAATTTAAATATAATTTAGTATATACTAAAGAGGAGTAGATTAAACAGTTTTACATTTTTACCTTGCTTTAAGACAAATAAACTTCCTCTACCTTAAGCTACTTTTAGTGATAAGTGAATTATACTTATCCCTGGAACTAACCTTTTTAAGCCATCTTCTTTATAAATGAGACAGTTTCCAGAAGCTCAAAACAAATGTGCACTTCAGTTATTTATTTCTGTCTTAAATATATAACAGCAGAGGTACATGCTTATAATTCACATTTATTTGTTATTTAGGCTATCACACATGACAAAGTAAGCTAGCTAGAAGAGTCTATGGTTTTTTTAAAAAAGGAATAGCTTTAAACTTGTTTTCATTTTTAAAGTTGTAAAAACTCTCTTCAACAACTTTTATAAAACAACTGGCTCCAACTGAAATAACAGATACCATTCTAGCCGATGCACTGCAAAATAGATTTAAGAGGGAAAAAGTTCATTTTAGTAATTCTCTGAGAAGAATCTAAGAACAGTAAGACTTAACATTCTGGAAAGGTGAAAGCTGATGAAGGTAAATATATGACCAAATCCATAAAAATCATGACTGAATGAAAACTAAAATTACAGACTATTCTTGAAGATTCTAAAAGGTAAATTTTAGGTCAAAAACTCTTGCTCATAGCAGTGAAGTTGAAATGACTGATAATTTAAAAATCAATTAAAAATACACAGATCATACATATTATCCTTATATTTATCAAATTAAGAAAATCTTAGTATATTTGTGAGGCACATTCCTAGTATTTTAAGTTTGGTACCAAGCAGACCGATTCTGGCCTTCCACACAACCACCCAACGTCAGAGATTATTGAGATACTCTACAGGTATGTCTAACTCAATACTGCAATCTTCTGCTGTTCTTCTATTAAGCAGCTAGCAATAAAGTCATTCAAGTTTTATGTTCCAAAACATGTCCTTTTACTCTTTAAACCATTAATGTAATTTACACATACATAGACACACTTCTGATTATAAAAGTAGCACATTTTATAATAGAAAAATATTGAAAGCATAAAGAGGAAAGTAAAAATTATGTGTGGCCCCACAACCTGAAGAAAGCCATCTAAGCATTGTAGTGTAGATGTGTGTGGACTCATGTGAAGCGTGAATGTATGCACTCTGTGTGTTTTTAATAAAATTGGGGACACAGTATATATACAATTTTTCATCCAGCTTTTGTCACTTAACATTACACTGTGAACATTTTCCTATTTAACCCTTCATTTCTCAGTCTATGTCAAGTCATTACTAGAGTACACCCAAGAGCCTTTTCCTGAATTCATGTTGAAGTTGCTCAGCATTCAAAGCATGTTTAACCATCTGTAAACACATATCATCTTCAGGTCATATACTTACAGAAAATGGCATCGCTGCAGCATGTGCCTCTACACGGCTGATCTTAGTTGCAGGCAGTGCACATGTTTCATCAACTAGAAATTAAATAATTCATCAGATAAGACTTACATAATCACTTATGAGACACATTAAAATATAATTTATAAATGTACAAAAAATAGCCAGAGGGAGAAAATCACAATAATTTGAAATGTGGACTCTCTAACTTGAACTAGTTCACAAAGCTCATTTTTCAAGGATTTGATGACTAGCTGGAACTTCAGAGAATGTTTACCAAAAATGAAACACAATTCCTGTTGCAAAAGAATAAAATGAGAATTTACAAAATCAGAAATCAATGAAGCTAGGAGAATTGTTACCCCACAGTATAGAACTAATCATTTCTAAGGAAAAAAATTGCTGAATAAATTCACAGTAGGAAAGATACATTCTGATTGTATTTTAGTGTGTGCTAATTTAACTATTTTATGGAAGGTAGCAGAGAATATATTATATAATGATTTCAACTGAAATGCTTTATCTGTTTACATTTGATTCAATCCAAGATGAAATGCAATTCCCATCTAAAACAAATACGTTTGATGAATTTATATACAAAAATGGTTCAAAATACAGTATGTGAAACACATTTCAAACCTTCAGATTTGGTACTGAATGTTGTTAGTGAAGTTTCATCTTTAACAACTGCCCCATTTGTACTGGATGATTCAGTTTTAATGGTCTGCTGGGTTACCATAGTTTGTGCGCTGGAAACAGTACTGGATACAGAAGTTTCAGGGATTACTGTTCTTAAATCCAGGCAACTACTTAGAACACCTATATTTGCTGAAGTGTGAGGACCTAAAATTAAAGGGAAAAGATCAATTATTAACATAATATCTGCAAGTAATTGTTGTATCTTATAGTTCTTGTCATACAATTCTTGGCATTTTCAATTTTAAAATAATAAACAAGAGCACTGCAAATGTCATTCATATGAATTAACTGTTGGGCATTAAAATATTTAGAAAAATGAAGTGCAATCAATATATCCATAATGGATGTCCAACTTCTCAGCTCCTTCTTCCATTCTAAACACTGAATCTTTGTTCTTGAATTCTAATAAATCATAGATCAAATGGCCTTCCTTCCCATTTTAGAGGGAAAAAGTACAGGTTATCTGGCATGAATGTCATCAGTTTTCTGCCTTCTCTTGTCCTAAACTAGAAATGTATTTATGCTTGTGCCCAACCCCTCTGTCTTCTCTTCCATTTCATAAGATGAGCTGACCTTTCTCCTAAGGAAGTTTAATCTATACTCTTGTGCTCCTGGTTCCATTCCTTCTCCCATATTTTGGGAACCTCTTTTATCTTTTTTTTTTAATTAAAAAATTTATTTTTTAGGTTCCTTTTTTTTGTGTGTATATATATATATTTTATTGAAGTACAGTCACTTTACAATGTTGTGTCAATTTCTGGTGTATATAGCACAATGCTTCAGTCATACATGAACATACATATATTTGTTTTCATGTTCTTTTTCACCATAAGTTACTACAAGATATTGAGTATAATTCCCTGTGTTATATAGAATAAACTTGTTGTTTATCTATTTTATATATGTTAGTATCTGTAAATCTCAAACTCCCAATTTATCTCTTCCCACTCCCTTCCCCTCCCTGGTAACCGTAAGTTTGTTTTCTATGTCTGTGTGGACCCTCTTTTATCAATCATTCCTTTTTCTTCAGGGTTTTCAAATTCTTCAGTAGTTTTGGCCCTCAGTCTACAAATATTATCAAGTCTCATTATCAAATCTCTCAAGCATGCATCTTACTTGACCCTACAATCTTCTTTAGTTACCATTTCCCCTTGCTAATTTGCTTTAGAACAGTCTCTGCAGACTCCCCTGACTTCCCAATTTGATTTCTAGCACACTCTAATGAAATAGCTCTGAAAAACATCAATGATTTCTAAGGGATACTTTTCAATTTTCATTGACTTCACCTTTCTACAATGTAAACAATGCTGACCATAGACCCCTTTTTGAAGCTATTTCTGTCTAGGACTCATATTCCACAATATTAAAGACTTACTATCTACTAGACATTTCTATAGTGGTGAGACAAAGCAGGCATGGTTCATACCTCATGAACTTAACAGTCATTTAGTAGAGAGAGACATGCATACACAATCAATGTATAGGCATAAATGGTGATGCCCACTACGGAGGTAAAAAAAATATATCAGTCTTTTTGGTTTTTTCCCTAACCTTCTTGGAACCCCTTTTCAATCTCTTTAGCTGGCTTCTCTTCTTCAAATGACTCTTTAAATCCAGGTATTTCTAAGCCCTTTCTTTTCTCCCTTTACATGTTTTCCTGGTGCCTTAACTACCATTCACAAATCATACATCTCTCAAATACATATGTCCCAGGCATGGAGCCTGGTCCTGAGAACTGAACAAGTCAGGCAAGGTCCCTGGTCTTATGGAGTCTGTATTTCAGATTCTATTAACTTCTAAATTTATACTTCCAGCCAAGAACTGCCTTCTAGACTCCAGATCTAAGTATCTAACTGCCCACTAGAAATCTTTACCAATATGTTCCTCAAGGGCCTCAAAAACAGTAAGCTCAAAGTTGAACCTATCTTTCTTCCAAATCTGCTCTTGCTCCTATTTTTCCTATCCTGATGAGGAGTATCATCCTGCAATGAGTGTCCAATCCAAAAACTGGGAATCATGTTCAACTCATTTTTACTTCTCATATTCACCCACTTTCTAAGGCTAATAGGTGCTACTTTCTAAGTCTCTGAACTTATGTATTCTCTCCTCTCCATACCACCCACTGCTTTAGTCTTTATGCATCTCTTGGAGTCCTTAAAGAACCTCCTAACAAGTCACTCAATCATTTCCTACTATAGTTCTTCCTGCTGGTGAGGCTAGAATGCCCTTTCTGAAACAAAAACCAAACAAAAACTAATCATGTCACACTTTCCCTTTGAAATATACCAGCTACTCCAACCTACAGAGAAAACGCCCAATCTCCTCTTGTTAACTTGAGACTGGGTAGCCATTTAGTCACACACTTAAATGTCTATAATGTGCCAGATACTGTCATTGTACAACCACTCTTGCTTCCCCATTTGCCTAATGTTAATTTTAACCAAACTGCCTTACAAGTAGGATTTCGAGTGCACTAAGATTCTGAAAGCTTGTATCTGTTTTCATGAGTATAAACTTCTTTATAAGATAGACACAGAAAATCATTATTAAAAAAAAATTTAGATTGAGGTCAAGACCAAGCTTTTATAATTTTGACCAAATGATTCCCTCACATCAGAAAAATAAACAAAAGTGCTCTCCTCTTCCACAAGTAATGAAATCAGAAAAATTACAGGAAATTATTTTGCTTGAATATTTTTATCTACCATGGACTCATAAAGAAAAATAGAAATAAAAAATTATCTTGTTATTCACTGAAGAGGAATTAACTTTTTAATCAACTGTCACAATTTTTTCAAATTAAAAATAAAGTCACATATTCCTGTACTAGGAAAATATCAGAATGAGATTTATAAAATAATTTTAGATACTGAAATCAGAGGTAACACAATATATTTCGGACAGTATCAGAATACTCAAATTAAATTATTTTAAATATAAGGATCACCAAATTATACGCTATCCTATGAATTCAATGGGCTAATCAACAGTGCTCATAAATGAACTATCTTTCTGAGGATAATTCAGTTAAACAAATATTTATTAAGTGAATACTATTTACCAGGCATGGATCTGGGTGCTAGGGAAATAGACATGAACAAGGTAGACAAAATCTGGCCCAAAATAAATAATTTCAGATAATTATAAGTGTCAGGACAACAGAGTAATAGAACAGTGACACTGAACACACTGCCCAACCTCAAAAGTTATACAGGAGCTTGTCTCATCTGAATTCTACACCTAATAACTAATCATTACCATTTGGGTAAGTTCTTGCTTAGTATCGTGACATCATTCTAATTAGGGTCAATATGATAAGTATATGTTTTATTTTGAAAATGGATCAAAACCATGTAACATTTACTTTTTCAAAGACTCTAAAATTCCCTACCATTTATTATAAAAAGCTTTAGCTTTATTTAAAATGCTGTCTTTATACCTTCATTTTTCCTTAGCATATCCACAACACAACTATTATGATTAGAAGCATTAGTTGCCAAAGATGAATGTAAAATGGCATTAGAATCAGTTGATGCTTTGAGATCTGGTTTGTTTTTCACCGAAGCTCCTTTCATAGCAGTATGTTCAGATTTTGCACTGTTCATTGTATCACTGATCTACAAGAAATAAAACGGTTTATTGTAGCAAGCAATGTTCAATTACATAGAAATACATGTAAAAAAAACAAGCAAAATAATTTACAACTTAAATGTTTTTGAAAATAAATTAACCAAAATATAAAACAGTTTAAATTATATCTTTAATTTGTATAGGATTATTCTTTAAATTTTATAATTGTTTAAGAAAATTTCATTTAATCTCCATTCTCAAAAAAAGACCAGTTCTGAGGGGAAAAGGAACAGTATATTTTGAGGGAAGAAAAAAAAATCTATGCTTTTATAAGTAGTAGTTAGTATTCAAGTAAATACGTATGTAACATGAGCAACAACAACAAAGCTGCTGAGTTTAACATCTTGGTCAAATTTTCTTGACAAGATCAGACATGGATACCTAGACCTTACAATTCCTGAAAGAAAAATCTGAGTTATAATGAACTTTCAAACATAAATTATTCTGTATGACTGTTTTCATATAGACGTCAAGATTTAATATATACACATATCAATATTCTTTACCATTAAACATTTTAGATAGAAACCTTCCTAATTACATTTCTCTTTGTCTTCTGAGAGACACTATAATAAACACATTTAAACTTTTTGGTAATTCAAGTTATCAAACTGAATATCAGTTATTATACAGCAATACCCATAGGTCTACTGAACGACAAAAGTGATCTGGCTTTATTCAAATACCCCAATATTGCTGCCCCTTTTTAGTTACCTGTTGTCACTTTTCTGTCTCCACCTTTAATGTCAGTTATAATCTCTCAGGGCTCTAAGGATACTTGGTCATACACGCCCTGTACTTTCCATCTAACTGATGGTGACTGTGCTGCTGTTAACAAATGATGATGATGATAGCCACGTACCAAGTGACAAGCATTGTGCTACATGTTTACAAAGCCTGTATTTCATTTAATCTTCACAAGAATTTTATAAATTGGGTAATATCACCCCTAGCTTATAGATGGAAAAAATGAGACTTAGAGATCTTAACAAATATACCCATGGTCAGGCAGCTAGTAAGTAGCAGAGCTAGACTCTAAACCTAAGTTTATTTCACTGCAAAGTCTCCATGATACAGTATCTGGGAAGTACAATAAAGCGAAGTGTAAAAATGAAGTGTGCTTTTATAAAGCAGAAAAAGCTGAAAACCAAGATGCTATAGGTGGAAAGTCACTAAGAGGTAAACAATTTGTGTTGAAGAGCCCAGAAAGACTTGAGAATTGGAGGCCAAGGTGCAGAGTGCAAGTAAACACCAGAGGACCATCATATGGAAGACTATGTAAACAGTGCTGTGGCCTCAGCTATGCCTTTCCAGCGTACAGTGGCAGACAGGTTCCACTCCCCCATTCTAACTGAAGAAGGGAGACAGGTAGAAAGACTGAAATGGAGGCTCTGGACTGTGGTATGGTGTCTCTCTGGTGAGTATTGAGGGCACCCATACTGAAAGTGAGGATTAAATGAAAGTCTGTATGCTGAACAGAGACACTGCCTGCTCACATTAAACTCCCAAAATACTGACAGCCAGGCTTAGAACCCTTAGGCAAGAGGCTGGAGAATTTTCAGGGGAAAGCCACTGGTCCAAGGGAAAAGATACTGACATTTGTGGCCCCCCACCAAATAACCCTCATTAAGGTCTCCTAATCATGCATGCCCATATGCAGAGAACTAGTATGGTCTGATTGTTTGTGTCTGCCACAAATTTATACAACGAAACCTACCCCCAAGGTGTTGGTATTAGGAGGTAGGGCCCCTGGGCTGTGATTAGTGCCTTTGTAAAAGTGGATCAAGAAAGACCCTCTGTCCCTTCCACCATGTGAGGATACAGTGAGAAATCAGCAGTCTGCAACTCGGAAGAGGTTCCTCTCCAGAACTCAAACATGCAGACACCCTGATTTCAGACTCCCAGCCTCCAGAAATGTAGGAAATGAATTTCTATTGTTTATAAACCAACCAGGCTATGATATTTTGTTACAGCAGGCCAAATGGACTAAGACATCTTTCAAGCTACTTTTTTAATGCCTCACTTAAAACATGAAGGGTTTAAACATGACAGCCAAGCATCACTAGACATCTGCTTTAACGTGAATGTCCAAGGCCAAGACACATTTTTTAAAAAATGAGCACGAAAAACAGAAATATTGCTGACAGCAAAATATAACTCCAATTTTTTTAAAAAACCATAACTTCTTGAAGACATAAGGGAAGATATATTTATGAAGCAAGGATGAGATTCTACAAAAGAAATGAATAAAAGCAGACTTTTAGATATTAAAAATGTATTTGAATATATTTAAAAATTGTATAGAACATTTATAATATAAATGAGGAAACTTTACAGAAAGCAAAACAGGACGACAGGAAATAGGAAATAAAAAGTAAAATCAGAGGATTAGTTCAAGAGGACCATCATTCAATAAACAGAAGTTACTGAAAAACAGAGAGACAAAAATGGAGGGAAGAAATAATCAGTAACAAAAGCCATGAATTTCTAGAATGGCGTGGCCCACTGAGTGCACAGCACAGTGAATGAACCAAAGACACATACTCTAAAATACACAACTGTTGAAATTTTGGAAGACTGGGGATAAAAACAAAAAAATTAGGCCACATATAAGTGATCAGGAATCCAAGTGGCATCAGACTTCTCAACAGCAACACTGCATGCTAAAAGACAGTAGGAAAATGTCTTTAAATTTCTGAGGGAAACATTTCCAACACAGAATTCTATAACTCAGCCAAACTACCACTCAAA